TGATTCCGTTGAGGCTTGATGTAAGTTCTATTGGGGTGGGTCTAGAGCAGGCGTTAGTCTAGAGCAATTTAGCCCTACTGCTAAGACAACGCCATGTTACGGGTCTTTCTCCTCTGGCTGGTGGGAACAGACTGCTATTCCCTACACGTCAGTGCTGGGAAGGACCCGCTGGCTCCTTTCTAATGTTTCCTCCCGAGTCTCGGTAGTTCTCTCTCACGTGTGCGTGGCTCAGTACACAGTGGAAGCTTCCAGAGGCTACTGGGCTGGCCGCTGCCACTCCCTCCTTTGCAAACTCCATCCTCTTTGGCCTCCTCACATTTCCTTCTCCCCAGCTGGGACTCTGGGCGATGGGAGGCTGCTGTCTCAGGGGTTCCTTATTTGCGTCCCTTGTCTGAGGGCCCCGGTCCTGCGCTACCGCAGGTAGCGTGCCTGAAGACTGGTTTCATGGACGGTTTTCTAGCTTTCTAGATGTGTAAAACGTGAGGCTTTTTTACCGTCTTGGCCGGAAACGGAAGTCTTTGACTTTCCTTCAGTTACCTCGGAGACCATAACCCTTCCCTCCGGCCTTGGTGTTCTTTGATTCCTTTAGCCTCACCTGAGTAGACTTTCTGCTCATCTCCTGAAAGAGCACTGGTCTGGAACACAGAACATTTAGGCTCTAGGAATCCTAGCTCTGCCGCTGGCTTTGGGGGTGTGCCTCTTTAGTGGTCTATAAAATGAGGGAGTTTATCGAGGCATGCTGTAAGGTTCCTTCTTCTTTACGAGTCTGTGTGAGAACACCCATTTGTTTCAGCATTTGTTTTTCTTTATTTAAGTTTCTTCTGGTGGTATCATTCCTCATTTCGCTACTTTTCATTGAGCACCTATTACTTGTCAGGTACTATACTGGGCACTGGGGTCACAGCGCCTCCACGGAGCTCGGAGACGAACCTAAGACAGTCACAAAGCCCGATGCTGCCACTTTCATGGGGAGTGTTAGGACAGGGGAGTCCCCAGCTCCGTGAGAGGCTATATGCAGAGGCGGGGGCCTTCTCTCGCGTCCCCAAGGGGGACCTCAGCTGGGGTGGGGCGAGGGGGTAAGAAGTGACAGCGTCCCAGGCAGTGGAACCAACATGTAGAAAATCACTGAGGTGAAGGACTTTGGTGCATTGGAAGGTCACCGTGCCTGAAGCCCAGACAGGGACGTGGGAGGAATTTCTTCGAAAATTAAAATGTAGGTTTCCTCTCTGGCAGTACAGCATAGTGCTGTGTCTAGAGTCTGACTGTGTTTTGTGTGTGTGTGTGTGTGTGTGTGTG